ACCTCTGGAAGAGCAGTCAGTGCTCTTAACCTTTGAGCCATCTCTCCAGGCCCCATAAACTTGTTTTATGAACATTTTGCAAATATATATATTTTTTCTTCTGTCAGTTACACCTGCGCCTATTCTCAACTCCAGTAGAAGTTCCCCCCACATAGGTATCTATTTTTATTTATCTCTACCCATGTATACTCCATGCATGGGAGTGCTCGAGGAGGTCAGAAGAGGATGTCAGATGCCCTGGAACTAGAGTAATAGATGATTGTGAGCTACCTGGATGTGGATACTAAGAGCCAAAACAAGGTCCCCTGCAAGAGGAGAAAGTACTCTTCACCTCTCAGCTGGTCTCCAGCCCCACGAACTCTCACTCGCTTGTAAAGACTCAACAGGACTCGCTCAATATAACCTCCACCTCCTCTTCCTTCCTCAGGACACTGGCCATGTCCACAGCTATCAACACCTGTGTTCTCTGAAACACATTTCTAGATTTGGTGATTTGCTTTATGCTGGTGATACAAGGCACAGCTTCAAGCATACGAGGAAAGCACTCACCTACTGAACTCTGTATGCAACCTGTGTGCGCATGTCTGTGTGCACATGTGAACACGTGTGTGTACATTTGTGTGTGTGTGTGTGTGTGTGTGTGTGTGTTATTTTTCAAGAGCAAGCAAGCAAGGTTCTGAGGAGTGTCAGCTCTCTGAAGTAGGGAGGGGTCCTGAAACTCACAGCTGTAGCCAAGGATGACCTTGAACTCTTGGTCCTCCTGCCTCCTCAGTATTTGATTTATAGGCATATGCTTTCGTGCCTGGCTCTCAAATACAAATACTTTTTAAAATATAGAACACTTTATGAATTTGTGTGTCCTTCTTGCATAGGGGCCATGATAATCTCTGTATCATTCCAATTTTAGTATGTGTGCTGCCAAAGCAAACACTCAAAATACATTTCTAAAGCCCCCAAATAAAATCCTTTATCTCACAGTTTCTGAGTTCAAACTAATCCATAAATTTATTGGAAATAGGACTAAACCAGGAGCTGGCTAGTACCAATGTAAAACAAGGAAATAAGACAGTTTACAGTAGAGGCAAACATGAGTAGTCATGGCTAGGAACACAGATTTGGGTTGTTCAAGTACCATGTTTCAATGTGAAAAGAGGGGCCATATTCTATTGCCTCTCTGAAACTACTGTATACACCAAAAGCCTATGACCCACCACCATAAAACCATGGCCACATGTGAGTCAGGAGACCTTAGACAGGGCAAGTCGGGGATCTTACAGAGCTAGCCTAGGACTGCTAGGCTAGATGAGGTCATTTGTTTCTATACAGAAGTCAAGGGGCCTTGAATGGGATATGGCAGGAGATGGCATGATTTAGAGTTTGGTAAGGGCATCTAGTAAGTTTTGGGAGTTAGTATGGAAAGAGACTGGTGCTTATTGTCTGATATTAGAAGAGGATTGGCTTCTGTGTGGACAGTCAGGGTGTTTTGGCCTCCCTGATTTGGGGTCCAGATTTGACACTTGTGCATGGCTTCAGCTAGCTACACTGAAACAGAACTGTCGTTGTTCTTGTTGCTTCATTGGCAATAGATCTTAAGGGTGTATGTTCTCACTTTTCCTTCTCCTAGTGCATGCTTGACATTTGCTAGCCTTGTATATAGTTTGTATAGAGTCCAAACCTTTTTCTTTAGACTAAAAGGGGTATTATAGTGAGAGATCCAACTATGCTTCTGTGGGCAGCACAGGTGTGGACCTGAGGTGTGGGATCTGGTCTAGGGTGGGGAATAGGCTTGCTTTCTCTTGGTTCTGGTCGGGTCACAGCAGGGCATCGATCCTGGGAGCTGGAACTTGTGGGTTATCAGTTTCTCATGGAAGTAACTTCTCCCCAAATAAAATTGACCTATACTATGCTAGTCCCATGTATCTTCATCTGTGCTTCCACACAGAACAGGATTAACTGAGGTACCCTGTGTTGCCTCCCACACAATTTGCTATAGTAATAGTTTGAGAACAGCCTTTTTCAGTCCCTCTAATTAGATAGTAAATCATGGGGTTCAACAGGTCCTCCTCTATTATTTCCTAGGCTAGTGTCCTGATATGATCAGCAGGGCCCCATATCAGGCACAACAATAGAGCCTGGTCAGGCTGTAACTGGGCAGGAATCTCATCAGTCCATGAACATACTGAATATCAGATAGAGGACTTCCTCATGCATGCAACAGGTTATTAGGGTGATAGATATGTCTAACCACAGAGAACCCTTTGAGAAATGCTGGTTTAAAAGTTTCCTAGTTTGGATTATATCTGGGATGTGTATCTGGATGATGCTAAGGTCCTCATTAGCTATGTCACAAAGAGAAAGAAAATATCTCTCTCTCCTCTCTCTCTCTCTCTCTCTCTCTCTCTCT